TTGATAGCCAAACTTGGCTGTCGGTAATAATTATGCTGCAAAGTAGCACATCAGCTGCAGTGTGAGCAATTGCAACTTACTTTTTTAAACGACTTATTGTCCCCTTCACTTGAGCTGCAGCTATCGGAGGAGTCGCTATCGGGTCTGCAGAATGGATGTTCGTTTTTTTGTTGCATTCCTTGCATCATCCTCGGTGCCTAAGAAAATATGACCAATAAGTAACTTCAGAATGACTGCTTTCTCCTCTTTGTTTTCGTATTGGAAATACAAGAGGCGCAGACTTACCGCAAAGCTTAATCACTTGAGCGTGATAGTGGCCACAGTGTGTTATCCTTCCAGAACACCCGGTACCACTTGCAAGGATCAAAATTGCATGTATCCTTCGAATTGATGTACTTACATGCACTTACCGGAACCATTAATTTTTAATTATCATCGCAAAACCAAACATCTTGGAGAATTGCGAGTGTACAGGCGCGATACTGAGCAATTAAGAGTCACAACAATGTTCACATGCACTACACATGCACCAAGGCCCCCACGAACTTGCTATTGATGACGATGGCAGTGACATTTGTGGATCTGCAAACTGGTAGGTGTTCTGTGGATCTCCCGAGTAGTTTATGCAACAACAAGTCCACGACTTCTTTCTCTACACAACGCAATTTAGTTCCTGAAAACAAAAATATTTATTTGCAAAAAAACATTTACTTCATGTTTTTACAACTTTATAGAGTAGTTTTTTTAGAGCTCACAGCAAATAATATATAAACAATGAACGCAGTTACTGTAAAAGGGCGACGCTGTGCATAGCCTCCGAGATGGCGAACGCGCAATGACGGGAGCACAGCGGAAATTTCAGAGGTCATGCGCTGTGTCGCCATATTTGCGTTGGTTAGGCTAGGTGACGCTAGCCGCCGGCCAAATTAAAGGGTACAGCCATTACAATCCATTCATCCATCTATCTATCACATCATTATGACTACAATCATCTAGCCATAATGGCAGTCAGCGACCACCATGGCGACGACCACCTTCCTTTGTGGGGAACACAGTACAATACACCTTAAGCACGCGAGGTGTTCTGTAGGGTCACTACCTCGCGTTGTGATCTCGCGGCACATGTTATAGTTTTCGGCAAAACGCGCGCCGTGTGCTCAACATTCAAGGCACAGCAAGCAGGTTGTGAATGTGAAGCCTTGGTCGATGTAATCGGTCTTTGCCCGTTCACTTATTATAAGTACCGCAGCCTCACTTTGCGTGGACACTATCAAGCGCACTATTTGAAGTTTGTGTCAAGCTCGACGAGAGATGGATTCAACTCAACCCCAGCCTCGATAAAAAAAAAACGCTATTTGGAGCCTGGATCGCATTATGTAGTACCTCGGACAAGGAGTGGTGGAGGCGCAGTCGGCCAACCAGCTACACTCAGCAAGAGCTTTCCTCAGTCTTTAGCTGGTAATTGATGTTCTGGAGGAGCGGCCTTCGACAGGCGATTGATTGATTGATTTGTGGGGTTTAACGTCCCAAAACCACCATATGATTATGAGAGACGCCGTAGTGGAAGACTCCGGAAATTTTGACCACCTGGGGTTCTTTAACATGCACCCAAATCTGAGCACACGGGCCTACGACATTTCCGCCTCCATCGGAAATGCAGCCGCCGCAGCCGGGATTTGAACCCGCGACCTGCGGGTCAGCAGCCGAGTACCTTAGCCGCTAGACTACCACGGCGGGGCCTTCAACAGGCGAAGTCTGAGTGATGCCACGGTGACCACAATGAAAATCCTGATCTTGACGACACTTACGGCTTCGGGAAAAACTCGCTCAGCGATTCCGACTGGACTGCAGATGGGGCTCGCGACAATGTTGGCATGAGCGACACTTTTTAAATGCAACAATGGCATGTATTTTGCACTAGTGCATGTCAATAAACTGCCAGGCTCTGTGTGTGTGCTCATGTGTGTGAGGCTTCTTTAAACTATTCAAGAACACATGTCACATTGCTATTGGCTCAGAAAAAAAGAAAAAAAGTTGTGCTTTGGCCGAAGTTTGTGGCCAGTGTGTTTGCACATGAAAGTTGGATGTGTTTGCTATGTTGCTGCTGTACCAAACTTGTTTAAAACTTGTGACATATATAGTCAGTCAAATACGAGTTTAGCAAGGTAGGACAACTAAATCTTGGCTTGATTCTTTCTATTGTTGTTCTCTTCACTACTCAAATTTTCTCATGATAGGCAGTTTCGCCCGCGCGCATGCGTGAGTGTGTGCGCGTGCGTGTGTGTGCACGCGTGCGTGTGTGTTTTGCAGTCAAATGCTTTAGCCCTAATTATTACATGGTTTTTGATTTATCAATCATGTGAGGATTACAGGCAAGTAATATAGCAAGTGTGTGCCACCACTTGGGCTTTGTGAAAAGACAGACCTGTGAATAACAGATGCTGCTATCAACATATCAGCCAAATCTTGCAGCTGCAGGTGACTTTTTTCATATAGACGACTGTGCTCACTTCGAATTTTCGGATGCCTGTATGCGGTGTAAAACAACTTAAAGCATGCTATTGGCCTATAGCCAAAATAAATGAAGAGCAGCATTTTAATCGAATGTGCTTCTTGTCACAGTGTGCTGCCACATGCTGGCACTGCTGTCCAAAATCTTCTAACATTGCATTGTCACACTCGCACACGGGAATGACAACACAAAAAAGCTACTGTGTTTCTTCAAGCATGCTCTAGCTCATAATGTCTGCTTACATATCGCACTTCTTTACTGCCATTCCTCCCTGTAGTTTTCGGTGCAGTTTGTTGGGACCGACCAGAAAAAAAAAGAAAGCGGTTGAAGTGCGCAATAAACCCCTCAACTTGCTTTGAAATATTTCTGGCAGTGGATTTGCGAGACATGCAGTTTTGGTGATGAGGTCAATTAATGATTACTCAAAGAAGCATTTCATTGTTTCTTTAAGGTGTCTCATCCAGTATGGATTATGACACTAATGTAGTGGCTCATCATTAAAGGCAAAGCGCTATGTGGGAGAGACAGCTGGGGTTGGCTTGTGTTAACAAAGGGAGAAACTGCAGCACCACCCGAGGCTTTTGAATCCAGGCCGTTTGGAAAAATTTTTGTATCAGCATGCTCATTTCACAATAGTTGACTGATTATTAAGTTATCTTCCTTGGAATGTTTACTGGCCCTATAACTTATAATTTAGAAATTATGTTTTTATAGCTCTGCGATGAGAAGTTTTGTTTGTAGTGTTTCAAGTTATGTTTATACTGTCATCTGATAAGCTTTGGATACTAGTATCTTGAAATTTCTAGATGTCATCTATCATTGTAAGCATTAACTGTGTTGCTATCTGGCACCTGCAATCCCATTTGTACACAGAATAAAGCATTCATCTAGACTGAAAGCTGCTTTGCATATTTAAAGGTCAGTTTGTCAATTATGCACCATCATGAAACATTGTACATTTTATTCTACACATCCAAAAGCTGCCAGTTGCACTGTTTGAGTCATCGTAATATTTCACACAATGGTCGTCAAGTGTTCAATAGAAAACGCTGATACACTAATATACATGCAGAAGTGACCTATCACATATATGTGGGCAGTGTGTTCAAAAAAAAAAAACTACCGTTAAAATGACAGTAATGAATCTTATGAAGATCCGATAAATGAACAAAAGACTAAAAACCTATTGACTAGTATATGCCATATAAATGACCAATCAAACTTATTCAAAAGCTGGTAGCACTGGTAAGACTGTGTATCAGTCCGATATGAGACTGGTAGCACTGGTAAGAAAATGTATCAGACTGATATGAATGTCTATAAGAACTGGTAAGACTTTGTATCAGTCTGGTACAAGACTGGTACAACTTATAGGAAACTGTATCAGACTGATTCAGACCTCTATCAGAATTTTCCCTAGGGGTACGGTAAACCCTGCATATCAATCAACACTTTCTCCTTGTTTTGACATTGAGGAATGATGCAGATAGAAGCTCTATCAACGTGTCTTATGACCTTGAGCTTGCACCTTGAAGTGCCATAGATTTCTTCTATTGAGATTCCTGATTGATTGATATGTGGAGTTTAACGTCACAAAACCGCCATATGAATATGAGAGACGCTGTAGTGGAGGGTTCCGGGAAGTCTGTCTACCTGTGGTTCTTTAATGTGCACCCAAATGTGAGCACACAGACCTACGACATTTCCACCTCTGCGTTGAGATTCCTGTGCGTGGTAGTGTTGCTATTGTGTCATCTTAGCACACTATACCTATCTCAGCACCCACACGTGGCGGTACTCGTTGCAATTAGCACTCTTTATTTCAATGCTGCTTTTGATATATGTAAGCTGAGGTAACAGCAAAGCGATGGTTGTAAACATCACTTGCTTCCCCCCCCCCTGCCCGTTGAAGTGATGGGATTTCTGTACAAATGGTGCACTTGAGGTGGCAACTCGCCCAAATCAGGGCCCACGGGCCTACAAAATTTCCGCCTCCATCGGAAATGCAGCCGCCGTAGCTGGGATTCAAACCCACGACCTACGGGTCAGCAGCCGAGTACCTTAGCCACTAGACCACCGCGGTGGGGCGATTCGGAGGCTTTTTAGCCATTCTTCCGTAAAAATTCAAGTTTGTATATAATTTCAATTTCATTGACAGTCATACATTATGGTCAGAAATTGCAAAAGATGCCATGGCGCAAAAGTCACATCATCGTGCTAGTGGTTATCAGCGACATCCGAAATTCGGCCATATAACTGGATCAGCGGCACTTGAAACCTTAACTGGTAGAACTTCATTTTGTGTGATTTGGTCAGCATGTAAGAAGTCATTGTAGGGCAAAAAACACGGACTGATGATGCGCATGGACTGATGATGCACGTAGAAGGACAGCATGCTGCCCTTCATCTGTCCATGTTCTTTCCCGTTCGTAATGAGTTTACAACCTGAAGCACAAGTAGCACTACACCTTATGAGAGGACAACGTACCTGGTCAGTCCATGCTTGTTTAGCAGCCTGTGAAGTATGGGAACCAACTGATGAGCAGAAACTGGCAATAGCTGATGACGCAGACGAAGCGTCGGAGCACAGGACTCGCTCGCGGTTGTCACCAATGCCGATACGGATCAAGGTGCTCCTGCACAGGTTCACAAGGTTTGAAAACAAAGGCCTAGAACAGAATTCAAAGCATTCACTTAGCTCAACATATTGTTCCAAGAAAACATTTATCCACATGTTATTTACAGGTGGAGACATTGGCTGAATCAAAGCTGGCCTGCTGCTTCTCCTCTCATTGCTGATACTCGATGCAGGGAATTGGCTGAGTAGTAGGGCTAGTAGGTGAATGTGAAAAAGTAATTGGTTCTTCAGAATCTGGTCAGACACCCACCTTCAGGGGGTGTCTTATCGAATTTTCCAAGAAAAGTTGATACATAGATGACGTGCATAAAAATATTGGAAGAGTGCTTATATCGTCTAGGCTGAAATGTTCGGCTGCTCATAGAATGAGACAAGTGTGACTGATCAACAAAAACTCTGTCATCACCTGGTTCGATATCGACATGAGACAGTTTCTTGTACAAGAAAGTGGTAGAGTGACAGTTTAGAGGCACCCTTTTTCTGAGAAACTATGACAGTAAAGCAAAGCACGCTTATGCATTCAATTGTTTGATGATCTATTTTCTCTCAAAGCTTTTTCTGAATCAATCGGCTACACTTTTATTGTTAGAGGATTCATTAGGAGAGTATTTATTTATGCATTTACTTGTTTATTTTATTATTTATTTATTACAAAAAAATCTGGCCTCTGTTGCACTTATCCCTGTAAAGGCCCCTGATTTCAAACAAGCATGTATATGGGCAGCTTCTGCGATATAGGAAGATATAAAGAACTCTGCCAGGTTGAGTAATTGGACTTAACAAAGCTCCTTTATGAACCAACAAATTTTGAGCAGAATCAATTATTATATCGCTAAATATCGATGTCACAGGCACCCTATTAGTGAATAGTCATGTGCATGACAAGTCAGTATACGCTACTATCGAACGCAAACCCTCATAAGAACTCAATTTACACCAAAGCATGAACCACCAACTAGCCCAACTTTCACTTCTAGCCCATTAAGAAAACAGAGGCAAAGGCGGTGCGCAATGAGGGATGTGGGCAGCCCTGCGAGAGGAGGGCCACTCGGACGCAGATGGAGGACAGTCGGCCGAGTGACGAGTGAGGAAAGAGGATAGGCCTGAGAGAAAGAAAGAAATCACCAGAAGAGTATGTCTGGTTTCTTATCCTGCAATGGGGAAGGTGCAATGCGATATAAAGAAGAAACGCATCCCGCGACCAATAGAAGCATCTTTTGATTGACAGTAGCAGAACAGGCGAGTTAGAAGGGGATCTCTCAACCACATGTTCACCCCTGTGAAAGTTTGCAGTGAAGCATTTTTGAGCAGCATCGACACACTCCGGAAACACCCCTGCATACATATTAAAGTCATCATCGATGCGATATATTTGTCGTATATGGACTTTTATCTCGGCCCTGAAGGTTCAATCAGGGACCCATATCACTGCTTTCTCTTTCGAGCGTCTCAACGGGAAAGACTGTCTCACTGTATTGCTTCATCTGTTGAGAGGCAAGATGGGAAAACACTGTCATTACTTAAGAATCATCGCAAAATAGCCAGCTGGCCAGCGAAAAAAACTGTTCCACACTCGCCATCATGGCTGTGAGCGGCACTGACTATTTCTCGTAGGTTTGCATGCACATGAATATCTGATACAGAGGACGACCACCTCTGCTTAGCTACACTGGAAGAACATCGAAGACGTTATTCAAAGGTTGCAGGTATGGTATCTACTTGTGGCAAGCTGTCTTTACATCTACATCACTTTCTTCACATTTAAACTGCAATAATTACGATAGAAGGAAAACAGTTCGCCGTTATTTGGCCCTATACAGTTTATGGCATCATTATTGGTTGGTTCTCATTAAGGTAATTCAATAGTTATTTGCGTCTTTCTTTTCTTCAGGTGCGCAAGAAAACCCACCTATCTGCTGGGCACACGCTCGTTCGAGAAGTGGCGCTGTCGTCATGACGCCCTGAAGCTTTCGGCGGTCTCGTGCCGCTCGTCACAGCCTGAGGCACTGGACTTGGAGCAGCACCGAGTAGCTTTGAAGGCGGTTGCGAACTCCGCAAACGGGAACCCAACACTGCGAACCATGAGGCACACGGGAGGCCAAAAAAAACCCGGCAATATCTACATTTCTCTTAAGCTCTTTTACAGGCACATGCTGTACAGCTTCGGGTTAGGGCGAGACTGAAACCCCGACACCAGAAAAACAAAAGTCCTGCTCTGGTGTCATACGCATATATTTTGAAATTTACATCAAGGGCCACCACTGTTAGCGACAATGTAATGCTCCACCATATATAGGTTGCTAAGTATATTGTATTGAGATGCTTCGGAATCTGCTTTAGCACGCTGCGGGTCGTTCCCATGTCAGACCAAGAAATACCAAGTCAGTGCTGCGCTGAGGCATCAATGAACTGCGAGTAACTGTTGCTCGAGTCGGGAACTAATAATAGCAGCCTCCCATTTTTACGTCATGATGACTTCGGAGCCGCGTGACCTAGGGCATTTCCAAAGAATGTCTTCTAGATTAGCTATATCCGCGAAAATAGAGCATGCATTGGTCGACTGCGTTAGGTATAAATCTCATGCAATAGAGCAGAGTTAGGGTACGGCCCGACATGAAGTAACCAAGGCACAGATATTTAACAAGGGTCATCCGACCGACTGCATGACATTCACAGTGCCACCTTTAAATATGTGCACAACTTGTACAGTGGCCACATCAACTAATAAAAACTGATCTTATAGATGTACATGAAGTCATACAGTTCCCGCGTCGAATCATACAATATTGTGTCAGCGCGAAAGCAACTTTTCGTGTAGCATAAATCATTTTTACATTGTTCATATGCGAGTCAATGGGCGTCTCCAAGGGGTATTGAGGTGAAAAGCTATTTACCTTGATTATTAGAGCTACAGTTTAGCTACATTGCCCACTTTGGCTGAGCATCTACACCACGATGCATGATAAAAACTGTAGAGCAAATAGCAAAGAAACAAAAGTATAGAGCACTAGATTGGTTGTCGCAGACATGGGTGACGCGACAACTTGGGTATGAACACCCAAGTATCTTCAGGTATGACTCAAGCTATTCGCACCAGGCAAAATTATTAAAAAGAGAACAGTTCAGCGCTTAATAAGCTTAGCACTTAAGACGTCATTCTTTACACTAAAATTAGTTCCCATCTTGCTAGTAGTCGTATAAAAGGCTTATTTCAGAATGGTGACTACCTCGAAGGTGGCACCATTGCATGATATTTAAACTTCCCAATGACTTTGATAGTATGTCACTGACTCGCCCACTAACCTTCTAGAATCTTGCGGTCTTCCTACGTTAGCGACAAGAGCAAAACTGGCACGATTAAAATTTCTACACAACCTGCTTCATGACCGCAGCCACATCGATGCATCAAAATATATCTCCCTAGCAGAACCCAGACAATTAAGACACAAACATGCATTCACTATCACAGAATACATCTTTAACAACGATTGCTTCAAGCATTCATTCTTTCCACTCTCGATGAGAGAATGAAATAGTCTAGATTCCTCCATTACCAGTATACAATTATTGTCAGAGTTAACCTCAAAAATTGAGGACATGTTCTGCAAATAATTTCCAGTTATCTTTTTCTTTTTTGATGAGTCGTATTATCATTTTTTCTAGCAGTTATTCTTGTGGAATAAATGTTTGCGTTCAATTGCGCGTAAATGAACTTGTTTTGCTGATTGCAGTAACTGGTTCTAAGTTATCGAAGTGCGTATTTTTCTGGTGTATTGTTTCCAGTGCTCTTGTATTTGTGTACAACTAGTGTTGTTTTGTCTTTCTACTAGTGGTTATCTTTTGTTAAAGAAATGTTTGCATACAATTGCGTTTAAATGAATTTGTTTTGCTGGGTGCAGTAACTGGTTCTAAGTTACCTAAGTGTGTATTTTCCTGGTGTATTGATCCCAGTGTTCTTGTGCTTGTGTACAACTAGTGTTGTTTTGTCTACTAGACAAGAACTGTCTTGTATGCCGTCTTTAGGTATGTACCGATTGTTCGGTGTTTGTATGCAATTAACGCCATTTTTTCAAAATGAACTTATTAAATTTTGTAAAGGCCTCAAGGCCCCTTCAGGCATTTCTGCCTCCAGCCACTGAGTTCTCTTGGATGTTCTGACAAATACGCTGCTGTACAAATGTGAAACTGAAAACTGTATTGTGTATCCAAGAACTGATGCCCTTCTGCTTTGGTCTCGTATGAGACTGGCAGTATCAAAAATAAATAACTAAATAAATAAATAAATGTTTAGCCAACCAAGTAACGCACAATTGCGATGAAAAAAATGTGTTCAGTGAATAGCATGCCTTACGGCCCCAGTCAAACTCCGGCCTGCCTGCTTTCGCTGTATGTAAATTTGTGCTTTGAACCAGCGTCAAAGTGGTACTACGATCTTGTCTGGCTGCCCCTATATCACACCACCTATGTTTATTTGCCACTCATGCCTGGGAACTCGAAACACACACACACAATGCCATACCCCCCCCCCCCCCCCCGAGAGCACTATTTTTGCAATGCGGTGACGTCACTTGAAGCTACAGATTCACCTAGCCACAGTCAAAAAATCTCTGAGTAGGAGGCTTAAAGCCACGCATTCCACACATCACGTTCCCTTCCAGCGAGAAGCACCCTGCCAGTCATATAGCCTAAAAAGTAGAAATGAACAGAGAAGTAAAACCAGGGCCGGTCAGTTTTTTTCTTTCACTCGTGTAAAGAACCAGCTGCATTGGGCCACAAAACAACGCAGACAAATGGGCCTGCGAGCATAAATCTTCCAAAGTTCGAGCTTGTGGACCATTATGAACAAAGGTCCTTATTGCTCAAACTGGGAATATGGGCACTTTTGCAGTTCTAAAACGCGTAGAAAATGAATCCGCTTATACTGCAAAATGCAAAGATCAAATTTTGCTATGAAAACTAACACGGTGAAACCTCTGTGAGATTTTATAGAAACGCTGAATATCACTTATCGCTAACATTTTCATAGCGGGCGATGTCGTCATCGCACCCGCGTGCAGATGCGGAGCAGAGCGTGCCGTAACGTGCCTCGTCATAGCACGCACCTGGTTCGGCAAGCTTGGTGAGTACTAGCGTCTCTCCACGGTTCAAGACCTGGTATAGAAGGTCACGACCGACATGCTGCATTCGGTCAACGCTCGCTGCTTTTCCAACGAGCATCCCGGCAGTGTGCTGGGTTGCGTGGGCAGCACTGGTGTCACGCAAAGGGATTAGCCTCCGTGGGGTGGAGTGTGGCGTGGAATGCCACGTGGCTGCGGGCATCTTAGCACCTCTCACTGGCACATCGGTGAAGCTGCTGGCAGCAGAAGACAAGTAGAACGAGGGCCTATCCTTGCGCTCCTCCGAGCTAGCCCGCGCCGACTCACTGCTCGATCCAGACTTCAGTGAAGTGGCCCGAGGAGCCCCGGTCCACAGCATCTTGGAACTGTAACGACCTGTAGTCGAGGCAAAAATTAACTTTTAGAGGTGAAGTACCTCAAGAATTTTGGCTTCTCGGCTAGTCTTGTCATCTTCACAATGAATCGTAAATGATGCCCCCCTACTCACCACAGGTCCATTCCATACCATAAGTAAAAGTTAAAGGTTCGTCGTTGCTGCCTTAAACATTCGTTTGGCTTAGCAGCATTGTCGGAATACCAGGAAAAATGCACCGAGGCACTCAAGTTTTTTTCAAAATTATGGGAACGAACAAAATGATGCTAAGCAAAGGGGACGTTAGTTGTTACAAGCTGGCACTCCTGCGTCGCCGGCGCCAAGACAGCAGCGGGAACGATTGCAGGTTTGTCCATTTTATACGTGAGCAGAAGCAGTGAAGAAATCAAAGACGTGTTTGGGAAAAGAAATAGAAAAAATTATTATACTAGTATCTGGCACAAGAAATACAATACTGCAAACAACTAAAAAGTGTGCATCTAAAAAAATTAATGGGCTTTTAAGCAAGAAGCCAGTGGTCCCAGCATAGTCAAGTGCACCCTGTACTGACGGCAGACGGATGTCTGCTATACCTGTGGTAGACTCGGCCACAGAGCCGACGTGTTCCCCACTCCAGGAAATGTTATCTGTCGAGGTTGCGGAATAACCTCCCCTGGCGACCAACATGTTTGCTCACTGAAGTGCGTCTTCTATGGAGGGCCTCATTCAACCGCCGACAGAACCTGTACAAAAAGATTCGAGATACTTTACATCGTCAGACAGTGCAAAAGAGAGGTGCGATTTTGACAAGGACTTCCCACTGATACATGAGCTGTCCGAACCGGCCAACAAGTCCAGGTCCCAGTTCAGGAGCTCAACGGGGCGCTCTCGATACAGGAGCGGTCCCCGATCCACAACTGTTCCCAGTCCCGGAGCTGTTCTCGATCTCGGGGCCCGGCTGTCAGCATTCAGGTGCCTGCTGCCACAGCGATCGAGTGGGCTGACCGGGTCAAAGGATCCTAGAAATAGGTAACGGGGGCATACTGCCAGAGCAGAACAATGATAGAATTATTCAGCTGGAAAGGGAAAACGCTGCACTTAAGGAGGCGATTGCGTGACTTAGAGTCAAGATAGTCACACTTAAGAATACTAATAGCGTTAAGAGTTAGGCTCTACAACCTTCTCAGGTCACTGGACTCGAAACGCCCGTTAAAACGCCTATAGAAACGGCCATGGCAACGCCCGTAGAAAAACCCGCAGAGACGCCCATCGAAACACCCTTGAAAGTGCAGTGTACTGTTCGTCCAGCCAAAAAGAGGGCTGTGACGAGGCCCACATTTGATGAGAAACTGCATAGTTTTAAAACAGATCAGAGACATGTTACAATCGCTTAGCCAAACAGCCGCATTGATTCATGTTAAGGTCGATACCTTGGCGGACAAGTTCAGTGCACTGGATGCCAAGGTCGGACGCTAACTTCTGTGCGTTGGATGCTAAAGTCAATGCGCTCGAACGCAGGCACATATCTTTTGAGCCTAACCATGGCGCGTCCGCCTAAAGAGTTCAGGATTTGGCAGTGGAACTGCTGGGGGTTTACCCTCAAGAAGAGAGTTCTTCAGCAGTTCATTCGTTCTCACTCTGAAAAGCCGCACGTCATTTTGCTTCAGGAGATTCTTTTGGATTCTGTCATTTTGTCGCATTACACATCTCATGCTCTTTATGGAGACAGACGATGGGGCATTTGCACGCTCGTATCTAAGCGATACACCTATATTTCTCATGATCTTTCTATGAACAGTAGTAAAGTAGAACACTCATTGGTCGAAATTGTTCCGGGGGGTCATTGAAAGAGTAGCATTTTCATCCTGCATATTTATAGTTTGCCAAATGACTCGAGACAAAGGTTTGCGGCAATCTTGAGTAGGGCTGCCGCCAGGGCCGGTATCTCCCCGCTTCTGGTGGCGGGTGATTTCAATGCTCCTCATCAGGCTTGGGGTTATCTGCGATCGTCCTGTAAAGGCGAGGATTTGTGGCAAGCAGCGGAGAACTTGAACCTGACCCTGGCCATGGACCCAGCATTTCCAACCAGTATGGGTAACTCCTGCACGAGGGACACCATGCGGGATTTTACCTTTGTTAAAAATGTTGAATCTGCTACTTGGCACAACTTGCACGTGGATCTGGGTAGTGACCATAATGTCTTAGCTACTCATATCAGTGTAAAGGGCAAACCCGTAAAGAGTTAAGTTTCAAAGGTTGGTTTTACTTCCGTCACATTAGAAAAGAACACGCACAAGCTGAAGACTCAACCCCCAGCCTGAATCAATGGGCCAAACAGCTCAAGGGGACACTGGTAAGGCGACAAAAAAGACACACACGGATTTGGAAACGGATAGGATGGACAGCAGCCTAGCGCATCTCCTAGAGGCAAAGGAATCATAACTCAATAGGTGGAAGGGACAGAAGCTCAATCGTCGGCTCCGCAAGAAAATTGCAGAACATAACCAAATCATCGAGGACCTCTGCCAGACCATCTCTAGGCAGCAAGGGGATGAGGTGTGCAATTCTGTTGATGGCCAAATGAGAACAGAATAGGAATAGAATTTGCTAAAGCACCTTTTGCACGAGTGGAATTCCAAGAGTAATCAAGGGCAAGTCATTCCTAAACTTATACATGCCGCCAGACAGTATGATTCTGAAGACACTATACTGGATGGTTTGGCTCACAGATATTTACCCATTGGCTCCTCGAGCTGTTCAGACTATCCGTCTAACACTGGACCCCCTTGCGCTGAGCTCGAAGAGCCCTTTACTACCAGCGACGTTTGGGAAGTTCTTCAAAACCTTAATGGACGATCGGCTCGGGCACCGGATGGCATCTCGAACAAGGCCCCCAGGAACCTAGAAGATGAATACATCGATTTCCTTACCGATGAGATCCATTGCATACGGAGAAAAGGTTCTGCCCAAACTCTTGAAAAATGGCATCAGTTGTCTTCATTCCCAAGCCAGGGCGACCTCCAGGTTTAGGCGATCCAAGACCCATATCGATAACGTCCCGTGTCGGCAAGGTGGTGGAGCATGTCATTTACAACCATGTTTCTAAGTACTACGAGAAGAAAGGTCTTTTTTCTTTATAACATGGTTGGGTTTTAGCCATTTTTGTCCGCGCAGGACACAATGAAGCTGCTCAAACATCAAATCATAGATGTGAACACAAGGGACGTAAGAAGCATCCTGGGTCTCAACTTGGAAAAAGCATTTGACAACATCTCTCACGCGAGCATCTTAAACTCCATTTCGGAGCTTGGACTAGGCGAAACCTTCCACAGATACGTCAGCTCCTTTATCGAATCCAGCTGGGAAGGCCACGCTCAATATCGGAGACCTCAAGTCCTCTCCAATAGCACTGGGCCCTGAAGGCATGCCGCAAGGAGTGGTGATATCTCCGCTTCTCTTTAACATCACTATATGCAAGTTGTCCACACTGCTATCAAACGTGAAGGGCATCAGCCATATGCTTTACACAGCTGATATTATCATCTGGTGTCTTGGAGGTAGCGAAAGGGAAGTCAAGACTGCACTCCAGGAAGCCCTCGATCAGACAGAGCACTTCCTTGCTGGCACAGGGCTGAGGTGCTTCTCGAGTAAATCTGAGCTGCTTTTATACAGGCCCAATAGAAAAGGAGCCAGGTTAAAAAACTTGTTTTGAAGCCTTTATCAGAGGTAGACATTGTACTTCACACCAAAAGTGCTGCCCCCATTCCGAGAGCGGATGCTATTAGAGTGCTGGGCATGATTATAGAGTCACACAGGTACAACAGACAAACCCCAAGATTTCAACCAAGACTGAGAACATGATGAGGTTGATTAATAGGGTTTCAAACAGAAGGGGGGGGGGACTTAGAGAGGACAGTCTATTGAGGCTTTTATGCATTCCTCACCTACGTTGCTGCCATGCACTCTTGGTGTGGATTCGAAAAGAAGAAGCTGGAAACTCTGATCAGAAAAACATAAAGAGGGTATTGGGCATCCCCGTGAGAACAAGCACTGAATGGCTTGTGCAGCTAGGTGTTCATAACACCCTATATCAGATCATTGAAGCCCAAGAGGCTGCACAGCTAATGCGCCTGTCGTCTACGCCGTCTGGTAGGAAGATTCTGTCTGTCCTAGGCCTCAGTCCTGCGCTCGTAAAGGATCACCGTCTTCAACTACCGGATGAACAGCGTACTGCCATCCAGGTCTCTCCGTTTCCGCGAAACTTCCATCCTCAGCACAACGTAGGAAGGTGCCGGGCTAGGACCTTCACACTTATGAAGAACATTGGGAACGATCCTCATTCAGTGTGTTTTGTCGATGCCGCTCAGTACGGTAGCTCAGCTAGGTTTTCTGTTATTTCCGTCAATAATATGGGTTCTATTATCAATGCTGCGTCAGTTAGAAACTCAACTCCCTCAAAGGCCGAACAGTTGGCTGTAGCCCTTGCCCTTTTGGATGACAGTAGATGGCAAATCTTCACAGACTCAAGGTCAGCGGTCGAGGCTTTCGCCTCTGGTTTCATCTGTACTGAAGTATTTATACTACTTGAAAATAGGACACTTTCTCCACATACCATTACCTGGTTTCCTGCACATCTCAAACTCCTACTGGACTCTCAAGTAAACCTGAACGACACTGCTCACTCCTGGGCGTGTGCACTAACCCTCCACGCTGGGGAGGACGTAGGTCCACAGGTTGGCAGCGAGATGTTCAGGGACGCTTTACTTACATTCAGTGAAGTGCCTAAACACTACCAGTTGAGTAGGCGATCATTTTCTCCTCCGCATAACAAGTTGTCTAGAGCTCAGGCCATCACGTTTAGAATGCTCCAGACCAGGTCCTATTCAAGCCTATTTTACCTCAGCATAGTCTCCTCCGAGGCTTTTCACTCTACTTGTCCTGATTGTGGTGAAGTTAGTGACTTGGCACATATGCTCTGGCAGTGCCCCTCGTTACGGGGCCCAAGTCGGCTCACAGAAGAAAA